GTGTATATATATATATATATATATATATATATATATATATATATATACTTAGATCATATATATAATATATATTATCTAAGTATATTTTATTTGTAACTGTAATTTATTTATTTTTTTAACAAATATTTTATTTTTATTACAGGAGAGGAGCAGAGAGAGTGTCAGCCAGTGATTTTACATCACTGGCTGACACACAGGATCAGTGATCACAGTGACTGGCTGTCACTGTGATCACCTCCTGCAGATTGCGGTAATTGGCCACAGCTGGAGTGCCTGGGTGGCCAGGCATGCCCCCCACAGTGATATGCAGGGGGATCCTGCCTGTAGTTATATGTGTCAGCCAATAGGCTGACACATAGTAACTCTGATCGCAGTGACTCGCTGTCACTGCGATCAGATCGCAGGGAGAGGCTGTCTCTGCATTCAGGTCGCAGAGACAGTCTCTCACTGCGATCAGGCTGAGCATATCGCGGTCACTGACTGCAGGGGGACTGCCTGGGGGGCCAGGCATGTCCCCCGACCGCGATCTGCTGCAGAGAATACGGCCAGCTCCATGTGTCAGATAATTTTAATATCGGCTGACACATGGTAAATACCGATCGCTGTGACAGCCTTTCACTGCAATCAGAAGCTGCAGACCGCGTCCCCAGGCACAGGGGGGCTCCCTGGGGGGCCAGGCATTCTCTGCGATCTGCAGTAGCCATGTGCCGCCGGCCATGTGGGAGGCAAGAACGCCCAGGGCATTCTATGCCTCCCTGCAGTGTTTAGAGCCGCCCAGATAGGGACGGCATAGAATGCCCTGCCGTCTTAAGGGGTTAAACCAGCAAGCAAACATTTTTTTAAAAATATACAAACCACAGGAAAGCAAAACAAACTTCGAAATTATGTAGGAAACATTAATAAATGTAGTATAAACTTGGTCAGATAGCATTTTTGGGCATGCCTCTCAGCAAGGGAGGTTTTTTGCCCCCCACCCTCTTACCCACCTATCTCAGTTTCGTATCAGACCACTAAGGATAGAAACAGGGCATCATTGTGCAGCAGCAAGACAAAGAAGCCAGAAACTGATCCTTTTCGTCTCCCCCTGTCAGGATGCTGCAAGGTGAAGAGATCTTCCAACATCACATGTGTAAATCTTTCAGGCATTCCCAATGCACTTTTCTAGCATTCCTGGGAATAGGGCAGTGAAAGTTGGTTAGATCAGTGCCCCCCTGGAGTGGTGTGCAATGCATGAGAAAGAAAAAGCAGTCAAATTATAAAGAAAATCTAATTTAACAGTTTTTTTTCCAACCTGCTGTGTGAGGCAACTGAGGCTACTGAATAAAACAGTTTATCAAAGTGATGCATGTTCCTTTAGTTTCTTAAACATTAAACATATATAAAAGTGGGGTAGCAATTTAATTAATTGATGCAACTAAACACAACTTTTTATACACAGCATGCTTCTAAAATTTAGAGTAAAAATTCAATGGCCGATATTTATAAAAATGTTCTAAAAAGTGTTGCTTACATTCTGTCACTAATTTATTAAAGTATTCTAAAGTAATCTAAAAAGTGATGGTTCTCTTTATAGTAATTTCCACCAGTTCCCACGTAAATTCATTTCAGCAGACTGCCATATTTATAGTTTTAAAAAGAGAAAACTGAAACAGAACATATGTCTGTTCATAAAAAGTGGAGGAATTTCATAAATCCATTGAATTGCCAGATAAATGGCATATATTCAAAGAGGAAAGTGTGAATTTAACAAGCAGCATATTAAAAACTTACAGAAACTTATACCTAAAATTGTTGGCGACACTTTGATGAATACCACTAATTTGTTTGAAACAAAGCACATACAATAATTAACCACTACAATCACTGGAAATGATAAAAAATATACGTTATGACTAGTGGCGACTGTTGGAACAGTACATAGAAAGGGGACAACTGTCAAAACTTGGGAGCACTAATAATTTCCACCACTAAATCATATTAGTAGTGGTTGCAGGGAGGATTGAGGCTGCAGTCGGTGTAGGGGAGTGATAGGTGCTGTATTGGGTGCATCAGAGGGATAGGGCTGTAGTGGGTGCAGGGGAGGGATAGAGGTATTAGTGTGTAAAAGGGAGAAATAGGGGTTGTAGTGAGTGCAGGGAAAAATAGAGGCTTTAGTCAGTGGCGTACTAAGGGGGGGACGGAGGGGGCGGTCCGCCCCGGGTGCCACCAGGGTGGGGGGTGCCATGACCAGCCCCGCCGCCCCCCCCATGCTGCAGCTGCCCAAGCGCTCTGTAGAGAGCCTCAGGCGGCTGCTGCTTTGCCTGGGCGGTGCGTCCATGAGGGGGGACCGCACCACCCGGGCGCAGCCTGAGGAGAGGGGCTGACAGGAGGGTCCCTCCTGTCACTCCCTCTGTAGTAGCGTGGCCGAGCCCTGTATAGTCGGCGGGTACAGGGAGCAGCTGTCTCCTGTACCCGGCCGGACTAACAGGAAGTGCACACACTGTGTGCACTTCCTGTTAGTCCGGCCGGATACAGGCGACAGCTGCTCTCTGTACCCGCCGACTATACTGGGCTCGGCCACGCTACTACA